CTGCTGCTGCTGCTGCTGCTGCTGCTGCTGGCTGCTGCACCGGGCGGGCCTCTGAGTCTGAGCCGCTTCGGTCTTCGCTGTCTGTGTCCCCGCTAGAGAGCAGTGCATTCAGTGCTGCCCCTCTCGCGCGGCTGATGGCTGCCTCAGCAGCAGCAGCAGCAGCTGCTGCTGCAGTGGCAGCAGCAGCAGATGCAGCACCCAATGCTGAGGGGAGAGCCCTTTGCTGCTGCTGCTGCTGCTGCAGCAGATCATACAACAATACTACCACAGAATGAAGCGTCGTTTCATGCTCAATATCTGCTTTTATCCGCTGCAGCTGCTGCTGCTGCTGCTGCAGTTGCTGCTGAGGTTGCTGCTGCTGTTGCTGCTGCTGCTGCAGGGCTTCGATGGCATCATCAGCAACAGCTGCTGCTTGCTGCAGCAGAGCAGCAGCAAGAGCGGTGTGGGGCCCCTGCTGCTGCTGCGGGTTATCTAGCAGGGTATGAGCTGTCTGCAGCAGCAAGGAGCAGCAGCTGGAAGCAAACTCTTTCCTCGTGCTGTCTCCGCACAGCAGCGCAGCTTGTCTCCACAGTGGCAGCAGCAGCAGCAGCGGATGCTGCTGCTGCTGCTGCTGTTGCTGCTGCTGCTGCTGCTGCTCAGCTGCCTGCAGCGGCGGCAGCGACGCCAGCAGCAGCGCCAGCTCGCTGTAAAATTCAGTGGGGGTCATCGCCACAGAGAGCTTGCGGTGTACATACACCGCACGGTGGAACAGAGCCTCCCACTCACCCGCAGCCTTCTCTGCTCTCCCCGTTCTGCTGCTGCTGCTGCTGCTGTTGCTGCTGCTGCTGCTGCTGCTGCTGGTGCAGGCACTCTGCTGCTGCCAAATGGCTTGCTGCAGCAGCGGCAGCAGCAACCGCTTTGCTGCTGCTTCACTGAATGCAGCAGCACGCAAGTCAAGGAACGTCCCCCTAAGCACTGGGCCCCCTGCTGCTGCACCCGGCAGCAGCTGCTGCGCTGCAGCAACAGCCTCTGTCTGGTGCAGCAGCAACGATGCGTCGCTCTCAACCTGATCCTCGGGAGCCACCGCAACGCCTGCAGCAGCAGCAGCAGCGGCTGCTGCTGCTGCTGCTGCTGTTGGAGATGCCCAGGTGGCAACCACTTGTCCCTGCTGCTGCTGCTGCTGCTGCTGCTGTTGCTGCTGCTGCTGCTGCTGCTTATGCTGGTGCAGCGCCTCGCGCAGCAGTGTTTTTACATAAGCAGCAATCGTTGCTGTGGGGAGGCAGCTGTCTCTACCGTAGGCAGCAGCAAGAGCCAGCTGCAGCAGCAGCGGGGCGTGAGGGATCAGGCGGCTGTCGGGGGGCAGCAGCGAGCTGCTGCACTTTGCTGCCAGCAGCAGCAGCACCCACCGCAGCAGACGCAACGCTGTTGCCTCTGTAAGCCCAGCAGCTGCATCTCCTAGCCCCTCACCAGGACCTCCTGCTGCTGCT